AAAGAATTTTTTGTTTCCCGTGATGTGAAATTTTGAGGATGTTTTTCCATTTCCCCTCATAGATACGATTACCAATCCTCATGGAGAATTTGTTCACGAAGATTTTTCTGTAATTATTGAAAAAAGCCAAGCCCAACTCCACAAACGAGCCAAACCCTCAACCTGAGCCAAGATCCACAACCGAGCTAACCTCTCAACTAGAGTCAAACTCCATACCCGAGTTTAGCTCACAACCTGAACAACACACTAGTAATCTTGTTCCAAATAACCAAGATCAGAATGTTGAGATGGGTCAGGGTATGAGAAATAATGTTCCTTTAGTGTGGTTGTGTGACTATGTTATTAATTCTACTGTTGCTAAAAGTCCATCCTTCGTCACACCGTCTCCACAGTCACCCTCAGGTACTCCCTATCCTTTAGCACATTACATAAATTGTGACAATTTTTCTTTGCCATACGGAACTTTTCTGGCAGCTATTCTTTCTAAAAAGGAACCAAAGTCTTTTAAGAAGGCGATGACACACAGTGGTTGGAAAGAATCTATTAAAAATGAAATTCGAGCCTTGGAAGACAATCAAACTTGGACTCTTGAGCATCTCCCACCTAGGAAAAAGGCTCTTGGGAATCATTGGGTGTATTGAATCAAATATAACTCAAATGGGTCGGTTGAAACACTGAAATCAAGATTAGTGGCTCTTGGTAATCATCAGGAAGAAGGCGTTGATTACATTGAAACTTTTGTTCCTGTTGCCAAAATGACAACTGTTTGTGCGCTTCTTGCCATTACAGCCTCTAAAAATTGGGAAGTACATCAGATGGATGTGCACAATGCTTTTCTACACAGTGATCTCGATGAAGAGGAGTATATGAAGCTTCCCCCAGGTTTTGAGGCATCTAATCCAAAATTAGTATGTCGATTGCGGAAGTCCTTGTATGGATTAAAGTAGGCACCAAGGTGCTGGTTTGCAAAACTTGTTACGGCCTTGAAAGGATATGATTTCTTACAATCCTATTTTGACTACTCCTTGTTCACCTTCGCTCGGGGTGGAATTCAGATAAATGTACTTGTTTATGTTGATGATCTCATCATTTTTGGGAATGATTTTGCTGCTCTAAAGACGTTTAAGACTTATCTCAGTGATTGTTTCCATATGAAAGATCTCGGCTCTCTAAAGTACTTTCTTGGTATTGAGGTTACTCGTAGCACTTCTGGACTATTTTTGTGTCAAAGAAAATATACGCTTGATATTATTTCTATAACAAGATTATTGGGGGCTAGGCCGGTAAGTGTTCCTACTGAGCAAAACCACAAACTCAGCCTAGCTAGTGGCCCAATTTTCTCTAATCCTACAGCATATCGGCGTCTTGTTGGAAGACTTATCTACTTAGTTGCAACCCGACTGGACCTCGCATACTCTGTTCATGTGTTGTCTCAATTCATGCAAGAACCACATGATGAGCACTATGAGGCAGCTCTGAGAGTTGTCCGTAATTTGAAAGGTACCCTGGGTCAAGGTATTCCCCTACGAGCAGAAAGTGATCTAACACTATAGGGATGGTGTGATTCAGATTGGGCCGCATGTCCTACCACTTGACGATCTCTTACTAGTTGGTTGGTGTTTCTTGGTCATTCTCAAATCTCGTGGAAAACAAAGAAACAAAATACTGTTTCTCGTTCTTCCGCAGAAACAGAATACAGATCTATGGTGGCTGTTACTTGTGAACTCGAATGGTTAAAGGGCTTGTTGGTAAGTCTGGGGGTTCATCATCCCAAAAGTATAAAATTGTTTTGTGACAGTTAATTGGCTCTTCATATTGCAAAGAATCTAGTCTTTCATGAACGAACAATTAAAGATGGTTTGATTTTTCCTTCCTACATTCCTATCAATTCGCAATTAGTTGATATCTTCACAAAGGCTCTTCGGCAAAGACAATTTGAATTTCTTCTTCACAAGTTGGGCATTTCAGATCCGCATGCTCCAACTTGAGGGAGGTGTTGAGATATTTGTTGAGATATTGAAGACATTAATCATCTTGTGTCTCTTTGTTTTTCCATCTCTTTGTTTTCTCATGTGTCTCTTTGTTTCCATCTTTGTGTTATCTCACTTCATGGCACTATATATACCGTGCTTGTATTGAGTTTTAGAGCCAAGACATAATATATTAGCTTTTCATCTTCTTCTTATTTGTTTGTATTCTACACACAAATTCATCGTCTTTTTGCATTTGTGTATGGCTTGAAACAAAACTGCTTGTGAGGGCTCCTCTCTGAGCTTTTCTTTCTATCCAACAACAATAAACCAAACATTAATGTTGTTGTAAAACTTTAAACTTTATTTAAATATTAATTATTAAATGACTTACTAATCTTCGCTTATGCTTAGTCATCAGGGTTAAATCTCCACTGTGTAGCGACGGTCCCATTCCCCCGCAATATGAATTTCTATTTTTTTTTTGTTCTTCTCGGATGTCTTTTTGAATTCGACCTTGTTCCAAAGGTTGTGATACTAAGCCAGAATCGGAGTAGCCATCCATTGCGTTGGTGGTTTACCTTTTTCCAGTTGACGCGCACCTTTTGCCAAGTTGACACCGTACACATGAACTGTGCTTGCATAATTTATAAATTCCTCAACACCTACTAAAAACTCATCAATGTACCCCTTCTTCCAATTCCTGGTAACAATTGGTTATACATCCATTTTCGGTGTTCAGTTATATTAGCCATGTAAAACAACTGCAAAAGTATATACAATACAAACATAACATATATAAATATATTAAAAATAATATAAATATTTAAAATAATTGTATACCAACATACTAATAAATAGACAACCATATAATGCAAGGTTAAAAAATTATAAATATACAAATAATTCTAAACACACACATAAATAAATAAATTTTACGGGTTCAGGTGCGGGTATAGCTTCATGTGCGGTTGACGCACCTTAAGCATTAAAATGGCGCATCTTAAGTACACAAATCACGCACCTTAAGCACACAAACAAAGCACCTCAAGAACACAAAGCACACACCTTAAGTACACAAACCATGCACCTTAAGAACACAAACCACGCACCTAAGGTTTTAAAATGGCTCACCTTACGTTTCACACAACTGACGCACCTCAAACATACAAATCACGCACCTTAAGAAGGAAAACAACGCACCTTAAGAAGGGAAAACCATGCACCTTAAGTTTCAACAACTACTCACATTAAGCACACAACTCACGCACCTTAAGCATAAAACCCATGCGCCTTCAGTACAAAAATCACGCCCATTAAACACAAAACACACGCACCTTAAGAACAAAAACCACGCACCTTAATAAGGAAAATCACACACCTTAAATTTGTCCTAGATGCAAAAATTACCATATTACCTTCGCGTTTTTTTTTATTTATTTTGTTAATCCTGGACGTTGATTTATGAAAGATCAATGGCTCAGATTTAATCGCATAACTGCACAGGAACTGAATTATATATATATATATATATATATATATATATATATATATATATATATATATATATATATATATATATATATATATATATATATTAATTTTAAAAATATGAATAATAACTAAGAGAATTATACTTAGAAATCAATAAAGAAAATGTAAATTTAAAATTCTGTATGAGTACGTTTAAACTGAAATAAGATTATATAGGAAATTTCTATAATATACTTTCATTAATTATAATTAATATTGATAGATTTATAATTAAAAAATTAGAGTGAATTCCATTTTTGGTCCTACTGTTATAGGGACATTTCCAATTTTAGGCCACCTTAATTTTTTTTGCCACTTTATAACCACTATTATTGAATGTGTTCCACTTTTAGTCCCACCATTAGTATTTCCATCAAGAGGCCGTGTAATTTAGGGGTATTTTGACATTTCTTCTCATCCAAAACTATGTTTGACTAAAGAAATGAGAACATTAAACCTAAAACCTAAGAAACCTCGCCGGCCCATGTTGAAACGAACGAAATGATGTAGCTTTGGTTTCCCATTCTCGTTGTTCGAAGAGCCATATTCGAATATCGGAGGAGGAGGACGAAGCGCCTGGATTAAAAGAGAAGAGACAAACATAAAAAGATCAAAATACCCTTGGATTATACTGCCTCTTGACAAAAATATTAACGGTGGACTAAAAGTGGAACACATTCAATAATAGTGGTTGTAAAGTGGGAAAAAAAATTAAGGTGGACTAAAATTGGAAACACCCCTATAACAGTAGGACCAAAAATGGAATTCACTCAAAAAATTAGCATTTAAATTTTGTATGATTAATACAGTGCATAAGTGTATGTATGTATGTGATTGTAGCCTATAGGATTTTGGCTTTTCAGGTTATCAGTACACCTGGTAGCGCTCCAAGGGGGCGGCAAATATAGTCGAGGAGAAGTTGGACAGGGTTTTGGTGTCTGAAATGTGGCTGGAGTTGTATGATGGGGCCACGGCAACCTCAATGCCATGCCCATATAGTGATCATCTCCCGATTATGCTTAGTCCCATTGTGGTTAGTCAACCACCGCGCAGGAGAAGGTTCACTTTTGATAATATGTGGCTTCGTGAAGACGTTTTTCGTGAGGTGGTGGAGCAAAGTGGAGCAAGTCGATAGGCCATGATATCATCCAAAGGATAGAAATGTGCAGTCACGATGTGGAGCGTTGGGGGCGCATGTATAATAGACAGTTCCAGCTGCGAATTGAGTGCTGTAAACGGTGTCTGGAGGCGCTGCAACGCTGTAGTGACCCAGCCAGTTGGGCGGAGTATGATCGGACTGAGAGGGTATTTCTTACCCTCTTGGACCAGCAACACACGTATTTGAAACAGTGTGCGAAGGAGCATTGGTGGAAGGGGGGACCTAAATACGAAGTTCTTCCACAATTCAATCAAGGCGAGGAGGCACCGGAATAATGTTACGAAGCTGATGAGGGATGACGAAATGTGGGTTGTGGAGAGGATGAAATTGGTAGGGTGATGACTGGTTATTTCGACCGGCTGTTCATGTCGGAGGTGGGAGAGATTAGGGAGGTAATTGGCTGCATTACTGCATCAGTAACGGTGGCAGAGAATAATGAGCTAGTCAGACCAGTGATGATGGAGGAAGTGCTTGGTGCTGTGACGGCGATGCATCCTGATAAGTCGCCGGGACCCGATGGGTTCGGGCCAGCTTTTTACCAACACTTCTGGACAATGATTGGAGGGGAGGTCACGATGTTTTGTAGGCAGCTTATTGACTCAACAAAGCTGCTGGATGGAGTTAATAACATCCTGGTCGTGTTGGTACCGAAGAAATCCGTCCTGGAAACAATGAAAGATCTAAGGCCGATTGCTCTATGTAATGTTCTTTATAAAGTGGCAGCGAAGGTATGTGCAAACCGATTGAAGCCCTTGATGGAAAAACTACTTTCCAAGTCCCAAAGCGTGTTTGTGCATGGACGTCTTATATTGCATAACATTATGTTGGCATTCAAGGCGCACCATTATTTGAAGCGTAAGTCACAAGGGAAGAACAAAGTGGCGGCCCTAAAGATAGACAGGAGCAAGGCATATGGCCGGGTAGAGTGGCGATTTTTTAGCGCCGTGATGTTAAAGATGGGGTTCTGTCAGAAATGGGTTGATATTATCATGGAGACGGTCAGCAATGTCGAGTACCGCATCCTGTATGAGCAAAAACAGTTGGGACCTATCAGGCCGGGGCGGGGTATCCGACAAGGTGACCCCTTATCACCATATTTATTCTTGTTGGTAACTGACGGCTTGAGTGCTTTGATTGAGAACAGGATGAGTATGGGTTGTTGGACGGAGTGAGGGTTGCGAGAGGGGCACTACCGATCTCGCACCTCTTGTTCGCGGATGATTGCTTCATCTTTTTTAGAGCCAACTCTGCCAAGAGCCAGCAAATGAAAGAGGTGTTAGATGTCTATGCAGATGATTTAGGTCAGTTGGTTAATTATGATAACTCTGTGGCTTGCTTTAGCACTAATGTTGATCAGCATGGAAGGGAGGATGTAATATCTGTCTTGGGAATCCGGCACAGAGATACTGCAGGGCAAAATCTAGGCTTGCCTTCGTTGGTCGGCCAGAATAAGAAGCAGATTCTGGGCTTCTTGAGGGAAAAGGTACTGGAATGTGTGCATAGTTGGAAAACACGGTTCATATCAAGAGCAGGTCGTGAGGTGTTACTGAAGAATGTCTTACAGGCTTTGTCGTGCTATACAATGATGGTATTCATGTTACCGGTAAGTCTGTGCAATGAGATTGAGGTTATCCTAAACCGCAACCGGTGTAGTGGCACAGTCAGTGATTCACGTGGAATTAGGTGGAAAGCGTGGCATGGATTGTGTGCCCCGAAGGCTAAGGGGGCCATGGTCTTCAGGAAATTAAAGGAGATGAATTTGGCTCTGTTGGGAAAGCAAGCATGGCGCTTACTAACGCGACCTAGCTCCCTTGTTGCGCTGGTTTATAAAAGTAGGTATTACCCTAATATCTCGTTTCTGGATGCAGAACTTGGTGGAAACCCTTCCTATATTTGGAGGGGAATTGTGGAAGCGAAGAATGTAATTAAAAGGGGTATTTGTAGGAGTATTGGAGATGGGCGCACTACGACAATCGGGAATGATCTATGGCTCACAACAACAGTTGACCCTTATGCTAGGACTGCTCTACATCTATCTGTGAAAGATGCCCCCGTTGTGTCCTTAATGACCCCAGCTGGTACGGGCTGGGATTCAGATTGTGTGAAGGACATGTTTGATGAAGATGAAGCGAAATGCATTCTCAATATCCCGATAAGTAGTAGAAAACCTCTAGATGCTTGGGTATGGAAAAGGGAGTATAAGGGAAATTATACTGTGAAATCTTCCTATAGGATGCTGACAGGTGAATTCAGTACTAATAAACAATGGAATCTCATTTGGAAGTTGCACGTTCCACCCAAGGTCCGGTTGTTTTGATGGCAATTTGCACACGGAATTCTGCCTACCAGGAATGCTTTGTGGCACAAACACGTTGCGTGTCATATAGTATGCCACATGTGTGGGGGTGAGGACGAGACCACATCACATCTCTTCCGGGATTGTCCGCATGCCGTCGCGATCTGGGCGTCTCAAAACCTGCCACCATCGGCACATGCTTCGGGTAATATTGCTGACTGGTTTATGGAGCTTTTGGCTAATCTGAACGGAGACTTGCAATGCAAATTTGCCATGTTATGTTGGGGATATGGGGGAGTAGAAACAACCATGTATGGAAGGGAATGACGTTCGTTGCTGATTCGGTCTGTGTAGTTCCCTTTCTTTTTTGACGAATTGGCAGGCTGTGAATTCTGCACACAATGGGCATGACGACTTGCATGAAGTGGAGGCCAAATGGAGAGCACCGGGAGTGGGGAGGCTTAAGCTAAACACGGATGCGGCAATGGACGCGAATTTTAATGTTATGGGGTTGGGATGGATTATGCGGGATGATCAAGGTGGCTATCTTGCTACCAAGGTGTTAGTGTTTTATTCTTGAGATGAAAACCCCAACATATAATTGGCAATATTATTATGACAAATTGAGATAGAGTGTAGCTTAGTGTCTGTTTGCTCTTACAGAAGACTGATTGATCAGTATAATCAACAGACGTACTGCTGGGTCAAGCCACTGAAGATCTGATAAAGGAAAGTGTTTCCACAAAAGCTGAACGTGGTTTGTGTCGATAGTTTTGGAAAGTATATCAGCGGATCAGCGTGGAAGGTTTGGACCGAATCTTAAAGATCTCCTTCTCCTCAAAAGGTCCTACCATCTACAACCAAAGATATTTTTGGAGAGTGTTCTTACCAAGGAAGTTTATATATCCTCGTTCGATCAAGAATTAGGGCTGCACGAATTAAGAGCCGCAACTCTCTACACTAAACGAATAACACACCTTTGGTTGGCATGTCTCTTCTCAAGAAAATAAGTTCTTGATGATTATTATGAAGAACTTGAGAAGTTTCAACGTTGCTTAAATGATAGGACGCGAAGATCACTCAGTTGTGGGAACAACGTGGGACTGCGTCACTGAAGCGGACTGCATCAGAGTTAGCTCTCTGATAGAAGGGATTTCATTGGACTTCTGCATGCGTGGCTCTCTGACTTCAACAATCCACTAAACCTTTGTAGACTGGGTACTGACCTTGTGTGGGGCACTTGGGTGAGATTGTTATTTTTCTCCACCTTTGTACATTGGATTATGAGTTAGTGGATTGGACGCCTCGGTGATCGTCCCCCAAATGTAGATACACACTGTATCGAACTGGGTAAACAAATTATGTGTGTTGATTTACTTACTGTTGCATGCCTCCACTAGTTAACTTATCTGCTTTCTATTTGAATGACTGATCGATTGAACATCTAAGTCAGTCAGTCCAGTATTCTATCTGCGTGAAACTAGATCAGTATTAATAATTTGGGAATGTGCAAAATTACATGTATTAATAATTTGGGAATGTGCAAAATTACATGTGGTATCAGAGCTTTTAAGTCTACATAGTGACTTGATCCTTATGGGAAATTTTTGTTTGCATCTTTCTCTCATTAAGAAACTGTTTACTTGGTTGTTTGTTTGCTTGTGGATTCTGGTTGGTAGTCTGGTTTGATTCAGGATAGATGCAAATATGAAACCACCAGAATTGGATGGTCACAATTATTCCTTCTGGAAGGCTAGAATGGAGATTTATCTTCAAGCACAGGGCACCAGAGTGTATCGTACTGTCCCCACTGGATGGAGTCCTCCGACATTTCAGAATGCTGCTAGAGCTACTGAGGCCAAACCAATGGAGACATGGACTGAAGATGAGATATCATCCTTTGATCTGAACAACAAAGCGTTGAACTCAATTGTAGGGTCTCTACATGAATCAGTATTTACTTTGGTTACAGCGATAAAAGAGGCAAAACGTGTATGGGAAATCCTTGAAACAAGATTTGAGGGTACCAGTGATGTCAAATAGTCAAAGCTTCAGATGGTTTTATCAGAGTTCGAAGCTCTTAGAATGAGTGAGGAAGAAACTATCTCTAACTTCCACAGTCGTGTTCAGAATTTGATGAATAGAGCATCAGTCCTGGGGGAACCTTTTTCGGATGAAAGAGTTGTCAAGAAGATCATTCGCTCTTTGCCCAAACGATTTCGAATGAAAGTGACTGCTATTCAGGAAAACGCAGGATGGGAGAAGAAGAGTGTGGGAGAGCTTATGGGTAATCTACATACTTATGAACTTCAAGTGTTGGCTGATGACGATCCTGCAGTCAGTAGAAAAGGTAAGTCAGTGGCTTTTGTACTGATACTGATGACATAGATGATGAAGCCCTAGCCTTGCTGACCAAAAATTTCAAGAAAATACTGAAAGGATTCAATCGGAGAAGTCAAGGGCAATCCAACAGGACTCAGTACAAAAGCGGAAACTCGTCATACCAGAAATCAGAACCGTCCTCTTTCACAAAGAATAGTCAATCCCAGACTAGATGAACAGGTCAATTCAGAACTACATCTACTAATACAGTTAAAACTTTAAATCTGTCAGTGCAGTGTCGAGAGTGTGAAGGGTTTGGACATATACAATATGAATGTGCAACATATCTCAAAAGGAAGAAATCTATGTCTGTGTCTACCCTAAGTGATGATGAAGAGGAAGCAACAGATGACCCGTCTGATGAAAATATTGGTAACTTCGTAGCCTTCTTCACAGTAACGGAGGATCACTCAGAAGAAGATGAAAATGATGGTGAATCTTACATATCATCAGATGATTTTGAAGAAAGACATACTCAGCTAGAGATGGAATTTGCTAAATTGGTGGGCAGTTGGGAAGAGCTAGTGAAAATCAACAAGAATCTGAATGATGATCTGAAACACAGAGATAATCGTCTGAAAGAACTAAACACTGAATTAGTTACAAAAGAGGACCTTATCACTCAGATCAGATCTCGAGAGGGAAAATTGATAAAGGAACTGTAAGATCTGAAGAAAACTATCAAGATGATGGATACCACGTCAACCTTAGACAAAATTCTGAATTCCGGTCGAAATCATAATGATAAAAAGGGACTTGGATTTCAACAAGGACAGTCCTCAATGTCATCTCCTGCTTTTATCAAAGAAGGTACCGTTCTTCGTCATGAACAAGGCAATCATCAAGATCAACCTAGTTTTGTCAGAAAGGAAACAAGCTCACTCTGATTACTGAATTTGAACCTAGCAAAGTCAAACTTCAGTCTCAGCACTCAAAGTTTAAAACTCAGTACATCAAAGTCAGACAATATGTACCTATTTGCCACAACTGTCTAATAAAAGGACACACCAGACCTGAATGCTATTTTTTTTTTTTTTACAGAGATTAGAGGAAGGAGAAATATCAGAATAAATCGATTACTCCTTTCCCCAAGGCAAGTTTGGGTCAAAAAATCAGAAGTTATCTGCTATCCCACAATTGTGCTGACTGCCTCTATGACTGAAGCAAGATGGTACTTCGACAGTGGTTGTTCTAGGCATATGACTAGGAATGCTAAGTGTCTCATGGCTTTTCAACCCAGCAGTGGATCAGTGACGTATGGGGATGGACAAAAGGGAAAGATAGTTGGTAAAGGTACGTTGAATGTGCCAGGACTGCCACATCTGGATGACGTTCTCTTAGTCAGTGGCCTGAAGGCAAATCTCATTAGCATCAGTCAGCTGTGTCATCAGAATTGGGATGTATGTTTCAACAAAGATTGTTGTAGAGTCCGCAATAAGGTGAATCAAGTGGTGATGAAAGAAACTCGCTCCTCTGACAATTGCTATGTGTTAACAAGTGAAGCTACCTGTTTTATGTCAAAAGCAGAAGAATCAAGACTTTGGCATCGACGTTTGGGACACATAAATTTCAGAGATATGGACAAAGTAATCAAACTGGATGCTGTTCGAGGGATACCTAAACTTAAAGTTGAACAGGAAGGGGTGTGTGGTGTTTGTGCTATTGGAAAGCAAATCAGGGCACCCCACAAAGTTGTAAAAATGATTACTACTGAGAGATTTCTAGAACTGGTTCATATAGACCTTATGGGACCAACTCAAACTGAAAGTATTGGAGGAAAGAAATACATCTTTGTATGTGTGGACGACTTTTCACGATTCAGTTGGGTATACTTTCTAAGAGAAAAATCTGAGGCATTTAATGCTTTCAAAACTTTGTGCATAAGGCTACAAAAGGAAAGGAACGGGTCCATTGTAAAAATCCAAAGGCTGAGAAGTGATCATGGAAAGGAGTTTGAGAATGCCTTATACTCAGAATTCTGTTCAGAAAATGGAATAGCTCATGAATTCTCCACTCCAAGAACAGCACAATAGAACGGGGCCGTGGAAAGGAAGAATCGAACCTTGCAAGAAATGGCAAGAGTTATGCTATATGCTTCACATCTACCACAACGTTTCTGGGCAGAAGCAATACATACTGCATGTCATACAATCAATAGAATTTATCTCAGACCAAGCACCTCTCAGACGCCATATGAGATCTGGAAAGGCAAGAAACCAAAATTGAAGTTATATTCTGATTGACCGGGAACAAAGAGGAAAGTTTGAGCCTAAGAGTGATGAGGGAGTATTTCTTGGATACCCACCAAACAGTCGAGATTATAGGGTCTACAACAAAAGAACTCAAACAGTCATGGAATTAGTAAATGTGGTTATTGATGACAATCCAGAAGAATCAGATGAAACATTCCTGACTGAGTCTATGTCAGACACTCCTATCAGTGATTCGCCAAAGATCTCCGGCACAAATAAACTGGTTGACACACATGACTTGTCAGAAGAAGATAAGGAAAGTCCTGAACAGGAAAAATTACTCTCTGATGGAGATGGAAAGAATAAGCCCACCAGAACTCAGAAAAATCATCCATCAGATAACATAATTGGTGATCCAACAGATGGAATGAACACCAGAAACCGGATGAGAAGCAATCTGATAGAAATAGCCGGTTTTGCCTGCTACACCTCAAAAATAGAGCCAAAAAATGTGAAGGAAACATTGCAGGATGACTTATGGGTTAAGGCCATGCAAGAGGAACTACATCAGTTCGAACGGAATCATGTATGGGATCTGGTACCAAGACCTGACAGTGTTAACGTAATCGGAACAAAGTGGATTTTCAAAAATAAAACTGATGAAGCAGGTAATATTGCAAGAAACAAGGCTCGCTTAGTTGCTCAAGGGTATACTCAAATAGAAGGAATTGACTATGATGAAACATTTGCTCCTGTTGCAAGACTGGAGTCAATCAGAATCTTATTAGCAGTAGCATGCATTCTGGGATTCACACTGTTTCAGATGGATGTCAAGACAACATTCTTGAATGGTTATCTGCATGAAGATATTTATGTGGCACAACCTAAAGGATTTGAAGATCCAGTTCATCCAACTCATGTCTACAAGCTCAAAAAAGCTCTCTATGGGCTCAAACAGGCCCCAAGAGCATGGTATGAACGTTTGACACAGTATCTTTTACATCATGGGTATGATCGAGGAAGTGTGGATAAAACTTTGTTTGTAAAAGCCACTGGAAGTCATGTTACTATTGCTCAGATCTACGTAGATGATATTGTTTTTGGATCTACTTTACAGAAGTATACTGATGAAGTGAAAGTCATGAAAGAAGAATTTGAAATGTCCATGGTTGGTCAACTGACTTACTTCTTAGGACTTCAAGTTAAACATAGTTCTGAAGGATACTTTATCTCTCAAGAAAAGTATGCTAAGAATTTGGTCAAGAAGTTTGATCTGGAATCATGTAAGACACCCAGGACCCCTATTTCAACCTCCACGAAGATATCTAAAGATGATACTGGTCCTTCAGTAGATTCCACAATCTATCGAAGCCTAATTGGAAGTCTGCTCTACCTAACTGCCAGTCGACCAGACATAATGTTCAGTGTTGGAATGTGTGCAAGATATCAATCTGCTCCCAAAGTCACACTTGATAGCTGCTAAACGAATCTTGAAATACATCAAGGGTATAATTCAATATGGAATATGGTATTCCAAGGACAGTGAACTGAGTCTGATTGCATACTGTGATGCTGATTGGGCAGGAAATATTGACGACAGAAAAAGTACATTTGGTGGATGCTTCTCTGTTGGTAAGAATTTAGTATCTTGGCTAAGCAAGAAACAGAATTCAATCTCTCTAAGTACAGCTGAGGTATAATACATAGTAGCTGGTGGATGTTGCACTCTACTTGTCTGGATGAAGCAAATTGTAACACCCCGTGTTACGGCCTTCAATCCCAGATTAATTATTTAATTAACCCCGTTAATAATAATTAAAACATGATTTAATTCGGTTAAGTTTTCTCTCTAAATAATCAATATGGTCCACTATGGACCATGGGCCCTTATCCCTAAAACAAGTCCTTAGTCCCAGAAGGAATGGAATTAGCAAGCCCACAATATTTAGACCCCAATTATGACTCTTAGGAATATATATATATATATATATATATGGGATCATAGGAGGCACCTAGAACCCCCACCACAATAATCTCTCACCACACCAAGAATTCCCCTAGGAGAAATCAAGAAAGAAGAAAGCTTAAAGACACTTCATAGCCAAGGAATTAATTAAGGCTAAGAGGTAACCCATGTCTCAACAAAACCTATTTTCATAGCTATGATTCCCTTATAGGTTTTCCCCATGATTCTTGTGTGATTGATGATTCGTTATATTGATCTTGGTGATTGGCTTTATCATTCCATGAGGAATCTTGATGTTCTTGATGATGATAAGAGGTTCTTGATGTTTATTTGGTGTTCTTGATGTTTATAAGATGTTCTTGATATATTACTTGGATTTCTTGATATTAAAAGGACAGGTTACGTTCTTGATGATTTAATTGTAATTAGAGCCCTAGGTTGCAACGTGAAACTCGTATGGTGTTATTCTTGATGTATTGGGCGGGAATTCGCATGTTCGGGTA